TGGGGAAGTGTTTTGAGGTCTGTGTCCAGGACTAATTCAAATTCAGTTCAGTGACATAGAATGGCAAGTAGTATCCTTCTCCAAGTCAGTGTATGTTACATACAAAGCTTGGCAAATTATTTTGGTTCCTAACAGAAAACAACATGATTGCCTTCTGTGGGAATAAACAGATAAAATGACACATTCAACAATGAATTATAACTGGTTATATATCCCAAGAAAAGATTATACTCTAAAGAGTTTTTGGCTCTTCTCTGAAAGGTCATACTTTTCTAAAAAGTTACAATCTCCAAAAGGTGTTTTTCCAAAAGGTCCTGAATGCCATGTCCCAAAAAACTCAAATTGCTCTTATCTCAAAGCAAAATTTCCCATTGAAATTAATTGAAATGTTATTAATCCATTCCGGCCCCTGGAAACCTCCCCCCATTTTTGTTACATGTTTTAAATAATAAATAATATATACATGCACATTCACATAGGACAACAAAAAAGAAAGATCAACTTTAAAATAGTAGAAGCACAAGGTTGTGGCAAGAAAGCACATTTCAGACAACAAAATGTGTGTTGGCCAGTGTAACAGCAAGGTTAATCTGCACATTCACATGGAACAATAAAAAATAACTTTAAAATGGCAGAGGCATAAAGTTGTGGCAAGGAAGCACAAAGTGAACAGGCAGAAGCATATTTTCTCAATCCAGCCTCCCTGCCTTTCTTGCTCTCTTCATGAAGCCAAACATACCCAATCGGCCTCGCGACTGACCAGGAGGACCTCTGTCTTGTCTGGATTAAGTCTCAGCTTGTTGGCCCTCATCCAGTCCATCACAGCTGTCAGGCACTGGTTTATTATCCATGAAGCTTCCCTGGAATTTGGTGGAAAAGAGTAGTAGAGATGATACCCAACTCCAAAACTCCAGATGATCTCGCGCAGTATAGTAGTGTTGACACCCATTAGTGTGTCAGCTGCAGCATATAGATGTGTTGCACAAATGTAACAACAAAATAAGCAATTAGTCATATATTTTGAAATATATAAATGAAAAGCTTTCATGAGGCATGTTGCGTCCCCATGGCCAGATCAGATTTCATGAGGTACGGGCGCAGCTGGTGCACAAGCTTTAACTGTGCAAAGGCCCTCCTAGCCACTGCCGACACCTGAGCATCAAGTGTCAAAGTGAAGTCCAGAAGGACCCCCAAGCTGTGGACCTGTGTCCTCAGAAGGAGTGCGACCCCATTGAGCACAGGTAGCCAACCTATACCCCAATCGGTCCCACAACTGGCCAGGAGAACCTCTGTTTTGTCAGGATTAAGCTTCAGGAAGAGACCATGTGGGCCATCTAGTCCAACCCACTGCCATTCAGGAAAAGCACCATCAAGGTATCCAGTTTGAAACTGTAGATGGTGTTTTTGGAGTCAGGTAGCTATCAACTCCACATCTCTCAATTCGTTTAGAAGTGTCGAAAAGTGGATACTTGAAGGCGTGATGGCAACTGTCGCCTGATGTCTCCATTGCATTTTATGAAAACCAAAGGAGCGGATAGTTGCTGTTAAAACAGTAGGACTAACATGTTTGATGAGGGAGACAAGACAATGCTAAAGATGGAAGTTCACCCGCTCCCCCCCCCCCCCCAATGGGATGTGGGGATATCATAGAATCATAGAGTTGGAAGAGACCTCATGGGCCATCCAGTCCAACCCCCTGCCAAGAAGCAGGAATATTGCATTCAAAGCACCCCTGACAGATGGCCATCTAGCCTCTGTTTAAAAACCTCGAAAAAAGGAGCCTTCACCACACTCCAGGGCAGAGAGTTCCACTGCTGAACGGCTCTCACAGTCAGGAAGTTCTTCCTCATGTTCAGATGGAATCTCCTTTCTTGTAGTTTGAAGCCATTATTCCGCGTTCTAGTCTCCAGGGAAGCAGAAAACAAGCTTGCTCCCTCCTCCCTGTGACTTAATCTCACATATTTATACATGGCTATCCTCTCAGCCTTCTCTTCTTCAGGCTAAACATGGTCAGCTCCTTAAGCCACTCCTTATAGGGCTTGTTCTCCAGACCCTTGATCATTTTAGTCGCCCTCCTCTGGACACATTCCAGCTTGTCAACATCTCTCTTCAGTTGTGGTGCCCAGAATTGGACACAATATTCCAGGTGTGGTCTAACCAAGGCGGAATAGAAGGGTAGCATTACTTCTCTAGATCTAGACACTATGCTCCTATTGATGCAGGCCAAAATCCCATTGGCTTTTTTTGCCGCCACATGACATTGTTGGCTCATGTTTAACTTGTTGTCCATGAGGACTCCAAGATCTTTTTAACACGTACTGCTCTCGAGTCAGGCATTGTCCCCCATCCTGTATCTTTGCATTTCGTTTTTTCCTGCCTAAGTGGAGTATCTTGCATGTGTTCCTGTTGAACTTCATTTTGTTAGTTTTGGCTCATATGTGTGGGTTCTTATCTCTGCAGCCTGGTTGTGGGCCACAGTGGCTTTTCAGAGGGCCTTCCACACTTGAAAGGCCCAGAGGCCATTTGGAAACACTTCCAAAACTGGGTTGTTGTAGGTTTTTTCAGGCTATATGGCCATGGTCTAGAGCAGTGTTTCTCAACCTTCCTAATGCCGCGACCCCTTAATAAAGTTCCGCATGTTGTGGTGACCCCCCAAACATAAAATTATTTTAATTGCTACTTCATAACTATAATTTTGCTACTGTTCTGAATCGTCATGTAAATTATCTGATATGCAGGATATATTTTCATTCACTGGACCACATTTGGCGCAAATACGCAATACGCCCAAATTTGAATACTGGTGGGGTTGATTTTTTCATTTGGGAGTTGTAGTTGCTGGGATTTATAGTACACCTACAATCAAAGAGCATTCTGAACTCCACCAACAATGGAATTGAACCAAACTTCCCACAAGAACCCCCATGACCAACAGAAAATACTGGAAGGGTTTGGTGGGCATTGACCTTGAGTTTGGGAGTTGTAGTTCACCTACATCCAGAGAGCACTGTGGACTCAAACAATGATGGATCTGGATCTGGATTTGGGAAAAACAGACATTGACATTTGGGAGTTGAAGTTGCTGGGATTTATAGTTCACCTACAATCAAAGAGCATTCTGAACCCCACCAACAATAGAATTGGGCCAAACTTCCCACACAGAACCCCCATGACCAACAGAAAGTACTGTGTTTTCAGATGGCCTTTGGTGACCCCTCTGACACCCCTTCGCGACCCCTCCAGGGGTCCCGACCCCCAGGTTGAGAAACCCTGGTCTAGCGGCATTTTCTCCTGACGTTTCAGCTGCATCTATGGCAAGCAACCTTAGAGGTAGTGAGGTCTGTTGGAACTAGGAAAAAGGGGTTTATATATCTGTGGAATGACCAGGGTGGGACAAAGGACTCTTGTCTGCTGGAGCTAGGTGTGAATGTTTCAACTGACCACCTTGATTAGCATTTGATTGCCTGGCAGTGCCTGGAGCAATCTTTTGTTGAGAGGTGATTAGATGTCCTTGTTTGTTTCCTCTCTGTTGTTGTGCTGTTCTAATTTTAGAGTGTTTTAATACTGGTAGCCAGATTTTGTTCATTTTCATGGTCTCTTCCTTTCTGTTGAAATTGTCCACATGCTTGTGGATTTCAATGGCTTCTCTGTGTAGTCTGACATGGTGGTTGTTGGAGTGGTCCAGCATTTCTGTGTTCTCAAATAATATGCTGTGTCCAGGCTGGTTCATTGGGTGCTCTGCAAGAACCTATCTTGCATTTGTCCCTGTTGAATTTCATGTTGTTAATTTTGGACCTTATGTGTGGGATCTCATCTCTGCGGCCTGGTTGTGGGCCGCAATGGCTTTTTAGAGGGCCTTCCACACTTGAAAGGCCCAGAGGCCATTTGGAAACACTTCCAAAACCGGATTGTTGTAGGTTTTTTTCGGGCTATATGGCCATGGTCTAGAGGCATTCTCTCCTGACGTTTTGCCTGCATCTATGGCAAGCATCCTCAGAGGTAGTGAGGTCTGCTGGAACTAGGAAAAAGGGTTTATATATCTGTGGAATGATCAGGGTGCTTGATGGCCATCTGTCAGGGGTGCTTTGAATGCAATATTCCTGCTTCTTGGCAGGGGGTTGGACTGGATGGCCCATGAGGTCTCTTCCAACTCTATGATATCCCCACATCCCATGAGGGGGGGAAAGTGGGTGAACCTCCATCTTTAGCATTGCCTTGTTTCCCTCATCTAACATGTTACTCCTACTGTTTTAACAGCAACTGCCCGCTCCTTTGGTCTTCATAAAATGCAATGGAGACATCAGGCGACTCTTGTCTGCTGGAGCTAGGTGTGAATGTTTCAACTGACCACCTTGATTAGCATTTGATTGCCTGGCAGTGCCTGGAGCAATCTTTTGTTGAGAGGTGATTAGATGTCCTTGTTTGTTTCCTCTCTGTTGTTGTGCTGTTCTAATTTTAGAGTTTTATAATACTGGTAGCCAGATTTGGTTCATTTTCATGGTTTCCTCCTTTCTGTTGAAATTGTCCACATGCTTGTGGATTTCAATGGCTTCTCTTCCAAAACCTTTCCCATTTCCTAAAGCTCCTTTCAGGTAATCCTCAGCCAGGACCAGGATAGGGAACACTCTCCGAGCAACAAGGCTGCCAAGACATGGCTCAGCTGGGGGCGCCTTTGGGAGCTCTGAGGTAAAATGGAGGGCGAGGTCTGCTTGTGGCGACGCGGGAGCGTGTCACACACACGTCCCCATGCAATAGGCGCGGTGGCATCACAACAGCCTCGACGGGGCGCCCCCTCAGAAGCAGAGGCAGGCCCACCAGGCCTCTCCCGCGCCCTTTCCCAGGGAAACGCGTCCCCTCGCTGTTCCACCCCTCGGCGGGGAAAGAGAGGCGCGCGCGCGCCCTTTTCTGGGCCTCCTCCTCCTCCTCCCTCGCGCCCTCCCTCGCGCGCCCTCTGACGGAAAGGAAGGGGCCGGCGCTGGGCTGCCGCAACGCGCATGCTCGCCGCGGGCGCCATTTTGGAAGGGCCGGAGACCGACTACCGACCGACCCGCCGCCGGAGCAGCAACGGCAGCGGCGGCGGAGGAGCTGGGCCCGGCTCGGAGGCGGCGGCGACGGGGGCCTGGGTTTGGGCGGGCCCCGCGGCGGAGATGGCCAACATCGCGGTGCAGAGGATCAAGCGGGAGTTCAAGGAGGTGTTGAAGAGCGAGGAGGTCAGGCTGGGCGCCTTGTGGGTCTGGGAGGGAGGCTGTGGCCCTTCGCTTCCCCCTCCTCCTCCCTTCACGCCCAGGTCTCTTCCCCTTTCCCCTCAGCCACCTGTCTTCCCTCCCTCAGGTGGCAGAATAGGCCGGGGGGAGCTGACAGAGGAAGAGGAGGGCGGGTTGTGGCCCAGCGCCTCAGGCCCCTAACACACAGCTGAAGAAAACCCCACATTTTCTGCTTTGAAGTGGAATATATTTCAGTGGGGATTCAGGGCCCTTCCACATGGCCATATAACACACAATATCAAGGCAGAAAATCCCACAATATCTTCTTTGAACTGGAATATATGGCAGTGTGGACTCAGATAAACCAGGGCCCTTCCACACAGCCATATAGCCCAGAATGTCAAGACAGAAAACCCCATATTATCTGCTTTGAAGTGGAATATATTTCAGTGGGGATTCAGGGCCCTTCTACATGGCCATATAACACAATATCTGCTTTGAACTGGAATATATGGCAGTATGGACTCAGATAACCCAGGCCCTTCCACACAGCCCTATAGCCCAGAATGTTAAGACAGAAGACCCCACAATATCAGCTTTGAAGTGGAATATATTTCAGTGGGGATTCAGGCCCCTTCCACATGGCCATATAACACACAATATCAAGGCAGAAAACCCCACAGTATCTGCTTTGAACTGGAATATATGGCCGTGTGGACTGAGATAACCCAGGGTCCTTCCACACAGCCATATAGCCCAGAATGTCAAGGCAGAAAACCCCACATTATCTGCTTTGAAATGGAATATATTTCAGTGGGGATTCAGGGCCCTTCCACATGGCCATATAACACACAATATCAAGACAGAAAACCCCACAGTATCTGCTTTGAGCTGGAATATATGGCCGTGTGGACTGAGATAACCCAGGGTCCTTCCACACAGCCATATAGCCGAGAATGTCAAGACAGAAAACCCCACATTATCTGCTTTGAAGTGGAATATATTTCAGTGAGGATTCAGACCCCTTCCACATGGCCATATAACACATAATATCAAGGCAGAAAACACCACAATATCTGCTTTGAAGTGGGATATATTTCAGTGGGGATTCAGAACCCTTCCACACGGCTATATAATACACAATATCAAGGCAGAAAACCCCACAATACCTGCTTTAGTGGAATATATGGCAGTATGGACTCAGATAATCCAGGGCCCTTCCACACAGCCATATAGCCCAGAATGTCAAGGCAGAAAACCCCACAATATCTGCTTTGAAGTGGAATATATTTCAGTGAGGATTCAGACCTCTTTCACATGGCCATATAACACATAATATCAAGGCAGAAAATCCCACAATATCTGCTTTGAACTAGAATATATGGCAGTATGGATGCAGATAACCCAGGGCCCTTCCACACAGCCATATAGCCCAGAATGTCAAGGCAGAAAACCCCACAATATCTGCTTTGAAATGGAATATATTTCAGTGGGGATTCAGGGCCCTTCCACGCGGCCATATAACACACAATATCAAGGCAGAAAATCCAACAATATCTTCTTTGAACTGGAATACATGGCAGTGTGGACTCAGATAACCCAGGGCCCTTCCACACAGCCATATAGCCCAGAATGTTAAGACAGAAAAACCCCACAATATCTGCTTTAAACTGTATTATCTGAGTCCACACTGCCATATATTCCAGTTCAAAGCAGATAACGTGGGGCTTTATTCAGCTGTGTGGAAGGCGCCACAGATAATCCAGTTCAAAGCAGATATTGTGGGGTTTTCTACCTTGATATTCTGGTGATACGGCTGTGTGGAACGGCCTTCAGAAAAAGGACACCTGAAGAGAGAAGAAACTAGACCAGGGATCCTCAAACTTTTTAAACAGAGGGCCGGGACACAATCCCTCAAACTGTTGGAGGGCCAGATTATAATTTGGAAAAAAAAAAAGAATGAATTCCTATGTACACTGCGCACATCTTATTTGTAGTCCAAAAAAACATTTAAAAACAATACAATAATTAAAATGAAGAACAATTTTAACAAATATAAACTTATTAATATTTCAGTGGGAATTGTGTGCCTGATTTTGGCTGATGAGATAGGATACTTGTTGTTGTGTGCTTTCAAGTCATTTCAGACTTAGGTTTACCCTGAGCGAGGGCCGGGTAAATGACCTTGAAGGGCCGTATTCAGCCCCCGGGCCTTAGTTTGAGGACCCCTGAGACTTTTCAGGGATAGAGGGATAGCCTAGGCCCTGCTGCTGCCATTTCCTCTTGTAATTGTGGGGAGACCCACCTAAGAGAGTTGTTTATGAGTTTAGCATCCCAGCTGCACTGCATGCCTGGTCACCTTTAGGCCTCATCCTTTTCTTCTTCACTGGAAGCACATTGATAATAATAATAATAATAATAATAATAATAATAATAATAATAATAATTTTAATTCTTACCCGCCTCTCATCAAGCCTCGAACAATTAAAACACGAATGCACGGCAAAAGCACCACAAAGACACATAGGAAAACATACCTTTGTAAAAGTTGCATGCCAAAAAATATCTCTGTAAAAGACATATTAAAATACACAAGACGGGGGGCCCTTCCACACAGCCATATAAGTCAGAATATCAAGGCAGATAATCCCCAATATTTGCTTTGAACTGGATTTTCTGAGGCCGCTCTGTCATATAATCCAGTTCAATATGGATGTTATACACATGTGTTGAAGAGGCCAGAGATTGAACCAAGGACACACATTCATGTTTAAAGACTGGGTAGGTAGGCCTGCTGGAAGAGAGAGGTCCTTGCTTTACTACCTTTCAAAAGTTGTGCCATTTCTGCTGTAAATGGCATCACATCCTTTCCAGTGACTTGAGGCCTTTCCACACAGCCCTATATCCCAGAATAGCAAGGCAGAAAATCCCACAATATCTGCTTTGGGCTGGGTTATCTGAGTCCACACTCAGATGATGTGGGATTTTCTGCCTTGAAATCCTGGGATATAGGGCTGTGTGGAAGGGCCCTCAATGAAGGGAGAGAAGGCGTCCCACCTGTCTGTCTTAGGGCCCTTCCACACAGCTGTATAAAATGCACATTGCACTGGATTATATGGCAGCGTGGTCTCAGATAACCCAGTTCAAAGCAGATATTGTGAGATTTTCTGCCTCAATATTCTGAGTTATATGGCTGTGTGGACGGACTCTCAGAAAAGGCACACCTGAAGGGGAAAATGGCAGGTCTTTCAGGAAAAGGGGGATAGCCTAGGCCCCTGCTGCTTCCATTTCCTCTTGTAACTGTGGGGAAGCCCACCCGAGAAGGCATTGTTTATGAGCTTATTTCAACTGCACTTCAAGCATTGTTTATGAGCTTATTTCAACTGCACTTCAAGTCTGGTCATCATCAGTTTTCAGCGTTCCCTCCTCCGCTGGAAGCACATTGATATTAATAATAATAATCATTTTATTTTTTACCCACCTCTCCTCATGGCTCGAAGAATTAAAATATGCCCGCGTGGCAAAAGCACCCTAAAGACACATAGGAAAATGCACCTCTGTAAAAGTTATGCGCCAAAATGTATCTCTGTAAAATACATATTAAAGTAGACAAGGCAGAGATTACACAAATGGGCACAAATTTAAAATTCATGTTTAAAGACTTGAGTAGGTAGGCCTGCCGGAAGAGAGTCTTTTCTTTACTGCTTTTCAAAAGTTGTGCCATTTCCACTGGAAGTGACATCACTCGATGACTCGGTGAAGGGAAAGAAGGCAGCTCACTTGTCTGTCTCAGGCTCTTCCACACAGCTGTATAAAATCCACATTGTACTGGATTATGTGGCAGTGTGGACTCAGGGCCCTCCTACACAGCCATATAATGCAGAATATCAAGGCGGGAAATCCCACAAGATTTTCTTTGAACTGGGTTATCTGAGTTCACACTGCCATATAATCTAGTTCAAAGCAGATAATGTGGAATTTTATTCAGCTGTGTGGAAAGTCCTGAGATAACCCAGTTCAAAGCAGATATTGGGGATTATTTGACTTGCTATTCTGGGTTTTATGGCTGTGTGGAAGGGCCCATTGTGGATTATCTGCCTTGATATTCTGGGTTATATAGCTGTGTGGAAGGTCCCTTAGAAGGTAAAAGGAATTTGGACAAGACGCAGAAGATGCCTAGCCTTGAACATATGTATCTTATGTAATATATATTATATATAATATAATATATATATATATATATGTATGTATGTATAATATATGTATGTATTAGGAGCAAACTTACTAACCATCAAGCATTCTTTTTTCACTTTGATGTTGTAATCCAGTGGGAGAATTAGACCCAATACATTTTCTGCTCTGCAACTGCTTTCTCTTTCTTTTCTAACTCCTACTTTAACCTTCTTTCTCCTTCCCTTTCTCTTGCAGAAGTCTCAGTGCTCTGAGACCCCTTCCACACAGCTCCATAAAATTTACATTGAACTGGATTATATAGCAGTGTTAACTCAGATATTCCAGTTCTAAGCCAATATTGTGGATTATCTGCCTTGATATTCTCGGTTATATGGTTGTATGGAAGGGTCCCAGAGACTAGTCCATCTTTGCAACCAGCCTCATATCATACCCCATAGGGCAGGCATGTCCAAAGTCCAGCTCGGGGGGCCAATTGCAGCCCATGTCCAAATTTCCACCAGAGCCTCTGTCATAAAATCAGCAATATTCGGCCCACAATATTGACCACAATATAAAATACACACGTACAAAAAGCTATTTTACATTTTACCAGAAGATAATGAAAACCACAGTTTTGAATATGCTCGGAGTCTTTTCAATCCATGTATCATTTATCCTTTTGTTTTTCAATTGACAATCAAACCAGGTCTTGTAGAGCCGACCAATTAAATATTGAAATCAAATTCAGTCCAGTAGCCCCTTTTTCCATTTTGGATTTTTGATCTGAGTCTAAAATTAAAATAATGAAAAAAACTTTGCTTTTTTGTTTTTTA